TAGGTGGGTGGAACTATCCTATTTGTTTTAAACGGCCAATTTACCGATTTACAACTTACACCGATTTTATTAACTCAAGCCTACCACGAACATTTATGACAACATATAACGATTATGTATGGTTCCAAACGACATTATATGACCCCAAGATGTATCCTTTATAATCTCAAGGCTTTTTAACACTTGTCCCCAAAACATTCAGAATTTCTCAAAAAACGTAGATATTAACCTTCAATTTTTGAATTTTTTGACTTTTTTTCGCCCGGAAATAAAAATTGCCGAAATGTTTACCATGGTCCCTAATACCCTCCGGGAGTCCCATATGGTGGGTGGAACCATCCAATTTGTCTTTAAACGACCAATTTACTGGTTTACAACTTGCACCGATTTCATTAACTCAAGTCTATGCTACCACGAACATCTATGACAACATATAACGATCATCTGTGCTTCCAAACGGCATTATATGACCCCAGATATATTCCCATAAATCTCAAAAAGTGTGGATATTAGCCTTTAATTTTGGAATTTTTTGACTTTTTTCGTTTGAAATTAAAATTGCCGAAATGTTTACCATGGTCCCTAATACCCTCCGAGTGTCCAATTTGGTGGGTGGAACCATCCAATTTGGCTTTAAACGACCAATTTACCGGTTTACAACTTACACCGATTCCATTAATTCAAGCCTACCACGAACATTTATGACAACAAATAATGATCATATATGGTTCCCAACGTCATTATATGATCCCGAGATGTATCTCTTAGAATTTCAAAACTTTTTAACACCGGACCCTGAAATCTCCAAAATCTCTCAAAAAACATGGATATTAGCGTTCAATTTTGGAATTTTTTGACTTTGCTGAAATGTTTACCATGGTCCCTAATCAAGCTGTCAAAAGTTGAACCGACCCGAAATACCGACTCAAACACGATTATTAACCGACGCATCTGAACCCGAAAAAATAGTGACCATAACTCGACCTGAAACCAATCCTAGATCTAAGTTGGCCCGAGTATGTGAGACCCGAACCCGAACATAAATTGACTTGGACATGACCCGATCTGAATGTAACCCGTAAATTATTGACCTGAACCGAACCCGACTTGAACCGAAACTGACCCAAACCCATTTAAACCTGAAAAACCCGAATTAAACCCGACTTGTTACTAACCTGACTTGAATTCAACCCGACCCGTTCCTAACCCGACCCGAATTTAACCCAACTTGTTACAAACTCGACCCGAAATCAACCCGACTTGTTATTGTCCTAACCTAAATTAAACCTGACTTGTTATTGACTCGACCCGAATTTTACCAGACCTATTACTAACCCGACCCAAAAATTCAACCCGATCTGTTACTAACCTTACTCGAAATCAACACGACTTATTATTGACCGGACCTAAATTCAACTCGAATTGTTCCTGACCCGATTTCAAATCACCTTCAATTGCAATTTAGACCATCTTATTATTGTTGATCAAAGCATTTTATCCAGGGAGACCAAGTCGGTCCAGGCCATCAAAAGAAAGGAGGATCATCCTCAAATTTAAGTGTTAAATATAGTATATATTTGTTGTATGGTCAAAGGAGATAATTATCTTCCTAAATTATAGACTATAGCTCCCTAGTATATTGTCATATATATTATGGTTAAAGGAAATAATTAGCTTGATAAAAATGATAGTCAAATTTGTCAAAAAAAAAACCTTTTAAATGCACCATTTTGCGAAAAAAAACCTTTTAAAAGCTTTTATGTAAAAGAAAACCCAAAGTTAATTTTTTTTTTGTTTAAAACAACCTAGTCCTACTAATACACCTAATTAACCAATCACTTCTAATTAACCTCTAATTCACATTTTACTACTTAATAATTAAATTAATTTATAAATTAAAAAAAAAAAAAATTTCACCCCTACCTGCCCACCACCGACCATCCATCCACCCCTCCCTCTCCTTTTCCCCCTCCCTTGATAGCAGCCCTCTCCCCCATTTGAGCCGCCGGCCACCAGCCATCCATCCACCCCTCCCCCTCTTTCCCTCCTCCCTTGACAGCAGCCCCCTCCCCCATTTGAGTCGTCGGCTTGAACCCATACCGCCGGCCCGACAACCCACATCCCTTTCCCCCTTACCCCCTCCTTTCTTCTTCATCAATTTCCTCCAAAAATTCCTAGTTTCATCTTTCTCTCTCCTAGCTCAATCATGGCCAATGGCTTCTCCATCTCAATTTCCTTAAATTATCTCACAAAAACCCTAATTTATCAATTAAAGACTTTAAATTCACCTTGAAATTTCTCTCTCCTCCTTCCGTGGGAAGAGGAGGGCCCTTGCGGAAGCTTTGCCCGCCCCGACTTCTTTCGCAAGAAACCTCCAATTGTGTAATCTTTGATTATTGTTCTCGACCTTCTTTGAACACGATGTATTTCGAGAATTCGTGGCCGAGTTGATGTTTCTGGGTGTGGGTATTTTCGTGGTGGACTGGCGATGGGAGTGAGGCGGGTTCTTGGTGGTGGTTGACGACGGGAGTAGGCTAGCTGGTACTAGGTTGGTACTTGGTAGTAGGTTGTGGCTGGGGTGGTTTTCGTGGTTGGCTTGGATGGGGGCTACGATTCTGGTGGCTTAGTCGGTGGTGGGGCTGCTGCTAGGGGAGGGGGAAAGGGAGTGGGTGGCTGGCTGGTGGTGGAAATGGTGGTTTGTGTTTTTTTATTTAATTATAAACTAATTTTATTATTAAATAGTTAGAGAGTAATTAGTGGTTAATCAGGTGAATTAGAGGTACTTCAGCAAAAATTAAATGTGTTATTAACCTGACCTAAACCCAACCCAAACCCGATAAGAAGTATGACCCGATCTATTGTTCAGCCGACCCGAATGTAACTCGACCTGTTATTAACCTGACCTAAACCCGACCCCCAAACCCGATAAGAAGTATGACCCGATGTGACTCGACTCAAGCATGACCCAACCCAAACCTGACCCGCATAAGTTATGGAATTAATATGAATTGACCCTACACGAGTTAGCCCGACCCACTCTTACCCAACCCAAACTCGACCCGTTTACCCGAATTGACAGCTTTAGTTGTGTCATGTTGTGATCAAAGTCAATGAAATTATAGCATGTTGTAGTGAGCTTTGGCTAATCTAGTGTGGGACTGAACCAAAATTCCTTTTTGCATCATAAAGTGATGCTGCCATTAATATGACTGCAAATACCATAACTTTTGTTGAGGTTGAAAGTGCTGTATGAAACATACATTAAAAAAAAAAAAAAAAAAAAAAAAAAAAAGAGAAAAAAGGCAGCATTATCTGATGTTGTGCAGCTTTCTGATGATTTTTTAATTATTACTCTCAGGTTCTTGGGATAATGTGTTTGAGGTTTCAGTTGGGCTGTATTTGGTTGGAACTGTGGTCTGGAACCTCTTTTCAACAGGAGAAAAGATCTTGGATTAATCCTTTTAAACATAAATTCTACTTCTGCAAGGCCAGATTGTTTCAAGGAAATGCTAGTCCAGATTGCTTCAAAGAAAGTTCACCATAATATAATGAGAAATCGACAGAGCTTGTTATTAGGCCTTTTATTTTGGCTCAAAAAACTAATGGATAGGTGGTCATCTGATCAACATGAAGCTGAAATGCTGAATGCTGCTTTGAGTCAGTACAATGAGAAGATCTGATTCATTACATTAGCAGCTCCCTCGAAGGTCTGTCACTAGCCTAATCACTCTTACAGAATATGTTCTATACAATTTGCAGATGTTCTACTGACACGGCTACTTGTAAATTAGAGTAAATCTTAGATCCACCAATGGCAGGATTCATACAGGCACGGTGGTTGTTATTGCTGTAAATAACAAAAGAACTAGAATCCATTTTGTGTACTCCCAGTCTATACTTAGTTGTTACATTTTCCCAATCTTATTTAATCAAAAAATTGCCATGATTTCATACCATATAATTCTTATTCTTAAGAATTATATATATGAAGTATAAAAAGAAATATGTATACAAATATCAACCAATTGAATATGTCAAGTCTTGTCTCTAGTTTCAAATCCTAGCTTCGCTCTACATAGACGTCATTACCTTTTGGAGCGTGATGTCGTTGAAGTCAATAGTGCAGTTTGATAATTCAAAAGCAGGAGTTTTGCTTTTTTGGGAGTGGCTTTTCATTAAAGCACTAGACTAAATTATATTCCATGGAAAAAATAGGCAGGAATTTAAGCTAGTGCTATTGCCCCAATGGTTGGGGGGCATGCATAAGATATGGCTTCTGAAGTTGGACTTGTTTTATCAACCCCAGTCTACAAGTCAGCAAATAATTTTTCCACTACCAAGAAATCAACTTTCAGTGTGTTTCTGAAGCTGTTAGTTAGGTGCTTTATTAGTTGCGAAAATTTGATAACTCCTCTCTAAAATTATTCTATCTGCTGGTTGGACTAATGAAGTTATGCAGTTGCATAAAAAATTATGCCAAATTATATGGGTTAAGTTGTCCATTGACTTAAACTATGCCTGATTATCATGTTAATTAATGTTACTTTGTGAATTTGCTAACTTCTTTGAATCTGTGCAAATTCACATAAAATGGAATTCAACATCATATCATATACTGGCAACAACAACAAAGACTTAGTCCCAAAATGATATGAAGCCAACTAACATAAAATTCCGAACCGAATATTATGTACGGAGTAAGTAAGAAATTCTTCCAGTTCAAGCTCAGATTCCTCATTGTATGGGCACTGATGCACCTTTAAGTACCAATGTATGTACCACTAGTCATTTGAAGTACCGTCACTAACGAAAACCATTCAAGGTGTTACTAAAACTATGTGATATTACAAAACTTGGAAAATAGAACTGCATCTATCTGATATATCACTGAAACTATGAATTATTGGACTATTTAATTGATTGCATGTCTCTGATATCTTTATAAAGTTTTAAATATGCTTTTACGATACAACATAATACAAAGTATTTTAAACAAAATAGAAGGAAAACATGAGCGAGTTTCAACCATATTTTTATTTACTTCCTATCATTCATTTGTAACACAAGAGCACCCTAACTCATTTAGAGGGACATTGTACATTTCCACTCTTTATAGAAGTAATTGTATACGAGTACACTGTATTACATTGTCAAAATATATATGCCTTAAACAACAATTTCTAGATACAAATGAATCTCTTTTTAAGAACTTCAATTCAATAGAATAGTAACAACAATAATACAAATCAAAACAACTGTATCAAACATACACAAATGTAAATATTAAAATCAAAATGCACATTTTATGAGTATAATGATAAAATGAAACTTCTTTAAACACTTGAAAAGACGAAAATGCCCCCAATCTCGCTATGCACAAGCAGCAATGCAACCCGCACCACCCTTGAGCTCTCTAGGCTCAACATACACCTTGAGCCCATGTTTCGTGAACAAAGTCAAGGACATCTTTTGCTCGACCCGATGACCGGGAACCGGCTGTAGCCGGTACCGGAGCAACACAGCTGAAGCCACAGATTTCATCTGTAAGTAAGCCAATTCTTTCCCTAAACAAGTCCTAGGACCCGCATTAAAAGCCACAAACTTATAACCATCCTTAGGTGGTTCAAACCGGTATCCAGAACCAGATACCGGTTCACTTAACCACCTTTCAGGTCTGAACTCCATGCAATCCTCTCCCCATACAGTTTTCATCCTCCCTACGGAATAAATCGAGTACGTCACTGTGGACCCCGCAGGAACAATAGTCCCATCTGGCAATACGTCGTCGTTCACAACGTACTTGAAATCCTCCGGTACAGAAGGGTATAATCGTAAAGTCTCAGCTAATGCTGCTTTAAGATAAACAAGTTTATCAGCCTCATCAAACTCTAGTGGTTCACTAACCCACTTACCCGGATCATCGCCACGTGTCTGATTTAACACCGTCGATATCTCATCGATGATCTTTGCCTCAACCTCAGGGTGATTCATCACTAACCAGAAAAACCAACTCAAGGCCACTGATGACGTGTCACGTCCAGCTAGGACAAAGTTCAAAGCGATGCGTTTAAGCACATCATCAGCAAAAAAGTTACCGTTTTGATCTCTCTTGTTCATAAACCTTGATAGTAAATCATCAGAAGGGTTCTCTTTTCTAGCATTGAGTGCACCTGACATATAATTTTCCACAACTTGTAAACTTTTTTGTAACCTTTTTTCAGCTCCAACTTGAAATACCTTTTTTAACCTCCAAAGAAAACCAGGGTATAGTAGCCTCTGAAGGGTAGATTCGGTAGCGGAGTCAAAAGCCGAGGCAAACGGGTTATCGGGTAGACCCGGTGACAAAGTCATCGGGTCTTTCCCAAAAGTCAACCCACAAATATTATCAAAAGTAAGCCTAAGAAGCAAGTCTTGTAAATCAATCGGTTTCTTTTCATCTTCAGCTGTTTCTAGAATCTTCCAAAGCCGGGTTCGGATAGTCCGGTTAACCCACCGGTTCATGGCTTGACGTAGGGTTCTTGTAGTAAACTCAAGAGCAGCAGTTTTACGTTGTAAAAGCCAAGTTTCACCGTCACTGTTAAAAATACCTTGGCCTAGTAAATCATGAAAAGCTGCTTGCCATTGTGGGCCCTTAGGGTAATTATCGAACCGGGTTCGGAGGATGTGTTCAATGTTTTTTGGATGACACGTAACCGTGTAGAACCCTTGCTTGTATGCCAAGAAAGGTATGGCTATGGTACATGTTTGGTACGTGGCAGCCCCACTAGTCCGCCGGAGGTTACTCGCAATCCAATCATGGAGTCGATTTCGATTTTTGAACAGATATGGTAGACTTCCTACCAGAGGCCAAAGGTTTGGACCAGTACTTAAACGTCTACACAGCTGAGAGAACCATAACATGTAGACCGATAATATGGCCACCATGCCCAAAAAGATTTGCATTTGCATGGTTTCCATTATTATGTGTGGTGGTAATTGTGAAGTTTTATTAAGTTATGGTTTTTTTTTAGGGGTTTAAGAAAAGAGGGATATGATAGAAGAAGAGTTGATGCTTGATGTGATGAAGTAATGGGTTTGAGGAGAGTGAGAGAAATGGGTGTTATAATATATAGATGAGGTAAGCGGTAAACCAAAAAGGTGATAAATTTGGTAAAAGGAGTTTAGTAAAAGTTGTTGAGAATTTGTTTTTGTTTAATTTTGGGGGTTTAGGGGTTAGTCACCAGGGCACTACATATTTGCACATTTGTGAGGATATTTCATATGCGTTTTTGGCTTTTGCTACTCGTGTGAGAATAAGACAAGTACTCAAAGAAGTGGCATGTGTAAGTTAGATTAGCAATGACGATTATGGTAGTGAACTTGCTTTTGGGTCATTATAATATTGAAAATACGTAAAATATATTATTATTATTATTAATATTAATAATAAAGGTATTTGGTTTTTGAATTTTGTTCATACCTTAATCCTTAACTCATTATACGAGTAATATTTTTTACTTTGTGTCCAATTTTTACGGGCCAGATTTTTATAACTAGGGAATAAGTCATATACAAGAGGGGATGAGAAATTGAACACCCGTCACAAAGGGGAGATGGAGAGACTAACCATCTCTCTACTCCTCACTCCTCAATTGCAAAACATAGATAAGATTCATAAAGATAATGAAATACAAGTATTACACAAAGGGAAAAATTGAATCCAATGAGGAAACGAAAAATCAGAAAATAAAAGCTAACGAGAGTCACAACTGATAAAGTTTCCCGACATAATCAATATAGTGATGAAAAGAAATACTCGTATAATTGATAGCTGATAATGAAGCAATAAAAAATATAAATGCAAAAAATCATAAAGCAAATTAATTCATCCTTTGACTCTTCACTCAATCAACCCCTGCTCCTCCCTTAAAAAAATATTAATTCCAGTAGAAGGCAACTCAATATTGCAATAACAATTCACGGTCCAAAAATCATGGATTAACAAATTTCAAATTAAGCTTCATAAAATTAAGTACAGTGATCATATATATATATAATTCAATCGTCAAGCAATGCATTATTTCAGTGTATCGAAAAGTAAGAAAGTCGATCTCCAACCCAATTAAGGCGGTGATATTAAAAAAAAAAAAAAAAGACATCAAACAACAACAAAAAGTGATATAAATGAGATTCAATTTTAATACAAATGAAATGAATAAGTTCGATTATTGTATGAGTAACATTTGTTGATATATGACGAAGTTGACAATATTGTTCAATTAAACGACTAATGTAGACTTACTATTTAATTATTTATTTATTTATTTATGTTTTGAAATAATGTAGACTTACTATTACTGAGTAATAATATATATTCTCTTCTAGACACTATATTAATTAAATCTACCTAGGATATTTAGATTATTTACTGGCACAATGGCACTATAGTCAGCTTACTCAGCTACATGCAACTAAACTATTAATGAAAAGATCTTATTTTTCTTGGTTAGTTTACGCAAACCATAGTTTATACATATTTTGTCCACTTTCCTGTCGTGTACCAATGACTACCAAGTAGCAGGTTCATACTAACACACACTATAGTACTAATACTGTAATATTATACAAAGTATGTTGTATGTTATAAATATATTTTATATATTATACGTGAATCGATCGACTAAGTATAATATTAATTATCATATGATATTAGTTGTTGGTGATATGGCTACTAATTATTGGATAATTTTTAATTAAAAATGTGAGAAATTATACCAGGTAGTTAGAGATGGTGTAACCATGCTAGGAAAATAAGGTTGATAAAAAGCAAGGAAAAACATTTTTTCTACAAAAGAAAAAAAAAAGGAAGAGAGTGAATAAAAATGGTAATGGGTATTTTTGACCCATTTGAGAAATCAGTTGTTGAGAGTAGAAAAATGATAATTAAATGCAAGCAAGTTTGAAGTAACAAGTTATGCTTGCTATTTTTAATTAGAGGAATTGTCCCACCAAATAAAAGTTAGTAAGACCATATAATAAACTTATTGGCTTATAACTTATTAGCTGTTGGTATTTGTATAAATCTTGCTATTCGTAAAGTCAGTAATCTTATTATTAATTATCAACTGAAGATCAACAGCTTCTTAGCTAACTTTGTACTCTTGGTATAGCGCATTACATTACTAACAAAGTAGTATTTCTAGAATAATAGTGCCCATAAGACAATCATATCATCTACTTATGTACGTGTAGACTACGTATAGTACGGGTTTAGAGTGTAGAACCGTGTTTAATTTGTTTACCGGTTTACCCCCTTCTTCCCTACTTGGAGAGCTGGAGTATGTAAATTGCTAATCGTGTCGTTCTTAGCTTTAATTTTGTTGCATCAATCGATTCTGGATAAAAGGTATAACAATCTATAAAAGTTATAACTATACAAATTAAAGTCAAGCCCCATTTTATACGGAGTATTAATTGAAATTTAGAAGTTGATGATCATACCTCGTAAATTAAAGATATGCTAAAATTCTATGGAATAAAAGTTTCTAACACCTTTTTGAACTAAGGTAGGTTAAAATTCAAAAGATTCCTTGAACTAACAACTTACATGATTTATGAAGCACCTAGTTATTAATTGTAAGGGTTTACTTTTGCTTGAGAAAACATAGCATCCCTAATAGTCTTATTGTACCTTTTTGTGGTATTGGCACCCAACAATATCTACCCATTGAAGAATAACTAAATTAGGGATAGATTAATGTTACAAAAAAAAGCTATTATCGATTTAAGACAATCAAATCGTATCATATCATATAACTAATATATAAAGCTAAATTGTTAGCCATGTCACGAGGCAGTGACACTTGGCGTTTAAACTTTTCCAACTTTTCGCCAAGTGTCGTGCCACGTTGGATAGATTTCATAAGATAAAAAGTTTAAAATTCTATTTTGATAGAATTTTAGTATAAAATTGCTAGTGTAGAGTTTTATTTTCGATAAAATACCAATATTTCAAAAATGTACAACCCTTGCCCAAAGTTTGGGTTCAGGTCAACTCAACGAGCTTTGAACATTTATTTTATGTAATTTATTATTTGTTTGCTTATTTTTTACACCGTATTTGTTTAATGTATTAAATTGAACATTTTCACAAATTGTTCTTCAAAAAAATGAGTTTGATAAGTTTTCTTGTACAAGTACTCAAGTAGAATAATACAAATTGTTAGTTTGATAAAAGTGTTACTTGGGCCTTGAGACAAATAGCAAAACTCAAAGCCCAATAAATCATACTAGAATAAAAACAATCCAGTAATCAACTAAATTACACTTACACCCTCATCAATTTATTTATTATTATTATTAAGTCCCGCAAAACGCAACACCTCTTTCTCTCTCTTTCCGGCGCAAATTCTCTCTCCTCTCAAAAACCAAACCCTAATTCGTTCATCTTCAACAATGGCGCCGGGCGAGAAAACGGTGCTCCAATTCGGAGGTTCAACGTCTTTGAATGTTAAGGTTCATCCTTTGGTGATCTTCAACATCTGTGATTGCTATGTCCGACGACCCGACCAAGCTGAACGGGTCATCGGAACTCTTCTCGGATATCTTTTACCCGACGGCACTGTTGATGTTCGTAACTCTTACGCTGTTCCTCACAATGAATATTCCGATCAGGTATTTCCTTTTTAGATTGCCAAATTTTGGTATTTAGTTTGTTTTAGATTGTGAAATTCGCACTATTTGTTGAAAGTTTGGATTAGTTTGTTGAATCTAGAATTGTAAATAATTTTAATTTCAACAAATTGGATGCAATTTGTTTAATTTGCGTTGTTTAGGTTTTTCGAAGAAATTGTTTCTCTAAAATTAAATAGGATTAGATGTTATCAATAAGTTGTTAAGTTCCGGAGTATGTGTTAAGTGAGTTTAATTGTCTCAACCTTTCGTAATTAAGGATATGGTATGATTTTGCTATAAGTTGTTAACTATATTTGGCTGACTGCCTCTATTACTTAAATTAGTGGACTAGTGGAGTTATTTTTGTGAATTTGAACTGTCTTTTCAAAGGCTAGTGAATTTGAACTGGAATTTGAACTTTAGACGGAACGAACCGATCAGATTTTTGGTGAGTATAAGTGCTGACAGTAGACATGATTGTGTGGGTTATGGTGGACTGATTGGTGGAGTTTCGGATATGTTATTGGTGGAGTTTCGGATATGTTAATGTCGTTGTTGAGGAGTTCTTATTTCTTGTGAATTCTTTTAAATTTCCAACTGTAGATTGACTTTGATAACATCACCCTAAAGGAAGATTAGCAATTTTAGTGTTGATTGTGATGATAGCTAGTAAATTCTAAATCCCCCCTTTTTAAATAGATAAGAGGTCGTCAATGAATGCGAAAAATCACAACTCTAAGTCCTTTGTTCAGGGAATTACTGATGTTTTGTTAAAGAGAATAGGAGCCACAGGAAAGCTAGAATGGCAGATTTTTGTTACTCTTGTATCATTGTATGCATGCTCCTATCTTTGCACACTGAGAACTTCTTTTCAGTTTAAAGTCGATGTATATATGTCTCAAGAAAAATGGTTTTCTTCTGAGTTTTATGATGTCAATTCTTGAAGAAGCTGAGCACTTGAATATATTATGATTGTCTCGAGGCTTCTTATGGTTTATTGAGAAAAAGGAGTTGCTTTATGCACTTGTTGCTATATATTAGCATAAATAAAGAATGCTAAGAAAGACTTGTATTGTTTTTGCATGTCTTCATTTTGTTTTAATCTGTGCTCTGGTTTATGTTTAATTCACACCACACTAAATCGATGTTGTTTTACGTACAGCAAAGAAATCATAAGCAACCATTTTTGTTGAACCTTGTCACGTTGAGTGTTGAATTGTATGAAGTGGATCTTGGTTGTGTATCTTTATTTTTTTTCTAATGTGGAATTGGATTTTTGAAATCTGACATCTAGCAATGCTTTATACCAATGTGGATATGATTGACTTGTTTATTATGTGCTTAAGTATGGCTTATCTGTTAAGCTTATGAGTTTATTGGGACAGTTGTTTAGACATGCACTAGTTTTCTTTTAACATCACCCTGATTCCAGGCATTGTCAGAGGTCTACTGTCAATCCTATGGTAGACCGTTGAATGTCCTGGGAAAGTTATTTATGCGTCCTTCGTTGTCCAGTAATATACATTTTTATTACTCGGAGTACATTTGGACTCTACATGCATCTTTGGTTTGAATTTCTGGTGAAGAACTCATATGTATTTACTCTTTTGTTGTTTGATGTAATTATAATCCATGTCACTACTTTTTGGCTACTGTAGTACTTATTGGATCATGGTATTGTCTGAAGATTTTTTTAGGTGGTTGTACTTATTGGATCACATGGTATACTGTTGAATGTCCTACCTATGGTAATGATTCATTTATAATAGTATCTGACTATCTGGTGTTTGAAATTTGATATCACTATATTTGATGTCATAGTGGAGAGTTCAGACATAGGTGTCTGCTATCAATCTTATGGTAGATTTTGAACTTAAAAAAAAAGGAATTAATTTGATGTGACCATATTGCATAGTAATCAGCAATTTCATCACCAGGGTACATTTGGTCTCTGATGTGCTATGGTTTTTTGAAATCTGGTGAACAACTTTTGTTCTTCACTGTTCTGCATAATTAATTTTTTTTTTAATGTGTGTTGTCTTACCACTGTTAACTATATTTTAGTCTTCATTTTTTTCTTATTTTATATTTTAGTGTTCATTTTTGTCTTATATTAGCAACCTGTAGAAATTAACCAACTTTTTATTCCCTTGCAGGTGGCATTAGACATTGAGTACCACCACAATATGTTGACATCCCATCAAAAAGTGAACCCAAAGGAAGTCATTGTTGGATGGTAAGTCTTCGTAGCTTATATTATCTTTGAACCTTTTAGTAGCTTAATTTGTCATATCATACTTCTAGAGCGACAGTTACCTATGAGAATTGCCATCTGCTATCAAATGCCCAATTGACATTTTATTTTTCGCTTGAGATAGCTTGCTGATTAAAATTGCCGCTACTGCCTCAAATTTTACCCTGACTCAATCTAATTAAGGAATTGTTTGAACTGTTAGTGGCTAGATATACTTGTAAGTATATAGTGTCAGGCACTATGCAGTGTCTAACAGGATTTCCTGTTTGCAGTTTTCAGCTATTGCAGTTAGACTGTCTGTACCTTTTAGTTTTGACAAATTGGCCCATTTTAGTTTTGCTTGCAAGCATTGGTTTACTTTCTTCCATATTTTTAATACTGTTGCAGTGGTGCTTTTTTCACTCTAATCATGTTTTGGGAATCTTTGAATTGTATGTAATTTTGAGTTCTAAAAACCTTGATATGTTTTGGCAAAAAATTAGTGATATTTACTGTCTAGGTTGTGATGATTACATCTACATCTAGGGCTGTAGCTAATGCATGCTTTACTATCTTGGCGTCATTGTTGTTTAATCTGCCCATTTTTTGTGCCACAGGTATTCAACCGGGTTTGGTGTTACTGGAGGTTCTGCTTTGATTCATGAATTTTACTCTAGAGAGGTTGCAAATCCAGTCCATTTAACTGTGGATACTACATTCAGAAATGGAGAGGCAACAATAAAAGCCTTTGTTTCTGTTAGTTTGTCTCTTGGAGACCAGCCGCTCGCTGCTCAATTTCAGGAAATTCCTGCAGAGCTTCGGATGTCAGAAGCTGAGAGGGTTGGATGTAGGCACAAGCACTTGATATACGTAGTATTTTTTTGTCAAAATAATTAAACCACCTAATTAACAATGCTAATTTGTATTTACTTGTTATATATTCTGGTTTATTGGAAATTGATTGGCTTTATTGCTGATGGCAGATGAACTTTTGAAATCAACTGTGGCGGACAAAATTCCAAGTGATTTGGAAGGCATGGAAAGTACTCTGGAGAGGTTGCTGGCTTTAATTGATGAAACTTATAAATATGTGGATGATGTTGTGGTGAGAACTCAATTGATGCAGCACTCTTCTTTTGACTATTATTCACCCCCCCCCCCCCGCCCTCTTTTTCCTTTTTTTTTTCTTTTCTTTAATGAGCTATGTGTTTATAATGTATCTCCAGGAGAGTCGTGTTGCCCCTGACAACAAAATTGGGCGGTTCCTTGCAGAGGCAGTATCTTCCCTCCCGAAGTTATCACCTTCCGCGTTTGATAAGCTTGTGAACGACAGCCTACAGGTATATCAATTCTTTCTCAATTCAACACTTCAAAAAATAGTTTCTTCTTTTTATCTAGTTGATGTCAAAAGCTGATAGGCATAGAACGAGCTTGACTGGAGAGATTTGAGGGATTGACCTCTTTTATGTCTTTTTTGTCAAATCCTTTTTTTTTTTTTCAATCTTATGTAGGTGATTATCTTCTCTGACTACATGTCATTTTTGTGTGAACAGGACCAACTTTTATTAGTATATTTATCTAGCATCACTAGGACACAGCTGAGTTTAGCAGAGAAGTTGAACACCGCTGCTCAGATTTTGTAAGTCTACTTCAAGCAGTTTTACGCATCCAGCCTTGATTCTGCGCCCTGGATTTTAGAGAAGAGTGTGTATTGATTTATAATCTTCCGGTACTCCTGAGAATAGCCTTTGATAACTTTGTTGTTGGTGATATATCTGTAGCTCGAAAATTTTGATCACTGGATAATGTATTCTCAAGCTTATACAATGCTTTTGATTCTTTCAGTGTTGTTATTTGACTGCAGTTTAGGTTTATATTAGCCTTCGTAATTGTTTTTAGCTATTTGAGTATGACCTTAATTGGCTTTGCTTAGCTGCTAACTCAAAAAATACTGGTTAAATGATGCTATCAGACAACTTGAGGATGTATAGTAATGTAATAGAAGCCTCAGAAGCAATGCACAATGGCAATTTTGCGTGCCATTGTGCACATTACTGCTAAAAAAAGGGTGATCTGTGGCTTCTTTATCAGAACGACAAATGCTGTTTTAACATGATAATCGTTTATTCATAATTGGTTGGATTATGAAAACTTCTTAGATCTCTGTTTCAGTTCTTCCTTAACTTGTATAGTGATGTAACTTTGGCGAACTGTATAATTATGGCAAAATTGTTTTCAGTGATACTTTGAATATGTGAAGGTGTGCCATGGAGGCTGTGAGTGTATACAAGTATATTAGATGGTTGCGACTTGTGAGTATTGCAATCGAGGTTGAGGATTACAATGTGGTACTCCTCTTAAGGACTATTGGTCCTTGCGCTTGCATAGTTGCATTACATGCAAAACTATGAACATACTGGTTACTATTACCTCATTTTATACTGCGTACTGAGCTTCAAATAGTATGTAAGTCATTAAAGGTTAAATGGTATGTAAGTCATTATAAGGAAAGGTAAATATTTTCAATCCGAAGATTATGGCACACAACAAATTGAGGTGATTAAAACTTTTGAGCAGAAAATTGTAATACTGATAAGAGGATGGGCCAAAAGCAGCCACGTGTCAAACACACGACCATACTCGAGGAAGATGATTTATCATAATTCTCTTGTGAAATTTCACAAATAAAATTCAGGAGAAAATAAAATAAAATTAAAGATAAGATCTATAAGACCCTTGTGGAAAACCCGTGGTGGAAACACTCCTATAACAAATTCCAAATTAAAGAAAAAATCAAAGGCCTGAAAATTTCAGACCCTCCAAGTTGCATATATTATCCTAAGCCTTTGCCACAATAAAACTGTTGGTCTAAGAGCATTTCTTCCCTTAAACCTCCATCACTTAACCCATTTACAACCCAAGAAGAAGATAATGGCATCATTGCCCACCATATTCGGAGCAGCCGCCAGCGCGAGAGTAGTCAGAGTGTCAGCAGCCAAAGGCGCGGTAGAAACCAAGGAAGAAAAGAGCTTTGTGGACTGGCTTCTAGGCAAAGTAACAAAGGAAGATCAATTCTATGAGACTGACCCAATTCTTCAGAAGGTTGAGGAGAAATCGGGTGGCACCACTAATGGAAGGAAGGGCACGGTTTCAATGAAGGGCACGGTATCAGTGCAGAGCAAGAAGAAGACTGATGGTAATGGAGGTGTCTTTGGTGGTCTATTTGCCAAGAAAGACTAGTTGATCATACATCACGCTCTTCACTTTTCAGTTTCCTGCAGTGTTTTATTTAGTATATTATTGGATGATTTGAGTTCTGTTAATGTTTTAATCCCATTGTTATCATTCAATCTTCATTTACTACCCTTGGATATGCTTTAGAATATATTCGAAACGTATATATATCTGCCCTCTATTGTTTCATTATCACATTACTCTTCAGTATTTGCATTTGTCATGCTCATTCTTGTAAAAGATGGTCTAAGTTCATACTGCTAAGCTTCCAAGGTGATCTAGCCCCGAAGGGTCACTTTCCGAGGCATTGGATAGCTTGTCCAATCTCGGTGGCGTGCTTTGGTTTTCTATAATCTATGAACAATGGTGATATAAATCACCCATCCCAGGGAACTAGGGAAGTGGGAAGGAGTTCCTCTGTAAGATGGAGTTGTTTTAGTTTGCGCAACTTATTTTACATAGAGTGGCATCATGGATAATTTCAAACTACATACAAAGATCAATAACCATTAATCTTTTCTAATGAAGAATTTGTAACTGTTAATAAAGGATGATTTCGTGAATCAGACTGCCTTTCTAAGGGGCTGAGAGACACATCACAGTTTTACAGCAAGACACACAATTGATTAGCCATGATTTTGTATGAAATACCTAACTGATTGTAATCAATGAATTTTGCGAAGAAAAAAAAAAATTGGTTCACAGAGAAATCTGAAACCTGGTGTGCATAATTTGGGAGAGAGCTCAGATAAGTGATCAATAAAATTTCAAGTCCCAAACATAACAATAATTCAGGCATAAATTGTGGTTACAGGAGAATTTCAGATGCAACAAAATAAAACGGTGTGGGGGATGAGGAAAGGCAGAACGATGGCTCTGTGAAAAGTCGGGGAGAGAAAAGGGGGGAGGGAGGGCTGAACAGCTTACTGATGAAACCATTTCCAGAATTTTGGATATCTGCATAATTTTGGCACCATTTCTTCTCAACTGCAACCAGCAATCAGCATCATGTTTTTGTAACTAGATACTACAGCTCCGATCAATATTTTTTGATGGGGGAGATGGAGAACATGACTTAATATAATCGATGCAATCATCAATAGCTTCTCTTGAATGAGCTTCTATCACATCTATTGATTTTAGAGTTGATTTCTTAGACGAACAGGTTTTTTTATCGGTTACAATTCTTAAGGTATTTCTGATGCCTGTACCAAAACACTTCAAGAACTGCAAAGGTGAAAATGCATACTTGATATTCTTCGAAAAGGATGCCCCATGACCAGAAAGACTCTTACTTGAGTTCTGCCTCTTAATTATAAGATCATTGCCTACTTGTCTAGTAAAAGTTTGTGTTTGAGTATCACCTCTTGACATCTGAACAGAGCAACAGTTCTTAGAGAGAAACAGAGACAGAGGATGAAGTTTTAGGCAGGGAGAGTTTACAAATGAATTGGCATAGGTGGATGGGTAAAGTCAATAAAGCTCTCTGAAATTTTTAAGGAAATATTTATAATTCAAAGTATAAAAGTTTATTGATACATTATTGATATTACCTGGCAGCTAATCAAAGGAGCAAATAATCACCAAAATGTAAGCATTAATGGAAAAAATATCTTCAAACAGATATGTTTCCTAAAATGAATAACTAAAATTTGCAACAAATCACCTTTTTCTCCTAGTTTAAGTAAAGGAGAAGGGAGCAATATGACAAGTCCAAGCCACTCAAGTTCCTTTGACAGTCCTCTATATCTCACTATAGTCACCCATCCACATACAAGTCACTCGTAAAAGTTACCTACGTTCTCACCGAACACAAATATCATGCAAGACTTATAAAAACGAGATGCAATAACGCAGATTTCCTTGAGAATGTATTTTCTCATTGTAAAAAGAAAAAACCGTGTATAGAACAACCTTCTACTTAACGTTACAGGAACACAAGGTTGAACCTGTGTTGTGTTTAGGCTGTCTAGAAATCCTTTAATTTGTAGAGTTATATTAAAGAAACAAAAGCAGCCCACTCTTTAAATCACGGTGATATAATGATAATTCCTCTTTATATTAAGCTATGAGGAAAATGAATGAACAAAACCTTAAAAATAATTTTCACACAACCAAGAGGCAGATTGCTGGCATAATTCAGCAGGCAAACATAAAGTATATAGACTTAAGCTATAAATGAACTCAGAGCAGAAGCTATTTTGCACAATCATGAAATCTTATACTTTTCACCATTCACACTTGAACAAAATATGCTAAAAGAATTCCTGTAAGAAAACACATGTACCCATAAACTATATACTCATGTAAAACTATACAATAACTTGCATTTGTGTTCTTTATGCAGCATCGTAGTACATCAATGGACAGTAAAGAACGGAGAACAAAGCACTAACCAGCACGGCACAAATAGAACTGTACCACTGCAGAGAAAATCTTTCATAATAGAAGCTGGAAGTTTGACGATCATGATAATCTTCAGCATCCCGCCTTCCAGACTATCACCTACTTTGACAGAGCTCAGAACCATGAATCTTTTCATCAGACATTTCATTCACCAACTAGAAAAAAAAAAATCATAACATATGAGCATCATCCATTCTTTACCTCCTTCCTTAATCCCCTTGAAACAACAGAGCTCATGTATCACATAATAGCCTAAGCATCAGCCTTCGTTCCAAAAATTCCAAAGATCTCAAAGCTGACTTCATCAATTGACCATGAATTCGACATCATAGATTCGAACAAAACAATCGCCATACATTCAATCCTGTTGTTTACCATTCATAACAAGTAGAATTTCACCACCAGCAAGAATAACACTATCCAAGAACACCCTAACTTCATCGACATCCTCAAATGCGATAGGAGCCTTAAGATCACTATCCAAATTATACCAAACCCCATTAATCTTTCTCAAACTAACCCAATGCCTATTCTTCCAAAGGCCACCATACCTTTTCACAGGAATATTCAGCACAATCCCCATTAACCCATCATCTTCAGACCCATCAAGAACAGAAATTGAACTAGCCCCATTTCTCCGATCATGCCACACTATATTCTTACCTTTTCTTTCAATGGCAGCAATCAAAACATTAACATCATAGTTCCCAGTAAACAGATTATGGTGAGGCTTAAAAACAACAGAAATAGGGTTCCAATTTACTGGGGTGGGATCACCCAAATTGAGCTCTTCAGCAATCCCATCCAAATCTGTTCGGCTAAATGCAACTTTCTCCTAAATTAGTTAAATTCTAAATTAATTTACCAAAAAAAATAAAAAAAATTGACGAGAAATTAATTTACCAATATTGAAACATCAAAGATTACAATTTTTTTTTCGAGCAAAATTAATTTCTTTGTTTGGAATAAAACTACTGTGTAAAACTAAAGAAGGGGAAAAGTGGGGTTTACCTGAAAGAGATTGTTGAGGGCATGAAGGAGGCAAAACTGCAATCTTTGACGTTCATGATAAATTCCCGACTTGATTTGCTCTTCCATAACGAACCCAGCAGTTTAATTTTCCATAGAAATGATCAGATTTGAAGAGAAGGCGTGTATGGCCCATCGTATCTAATAGTCACCGTCGAAAACATTTGGACAAATTTTTATTTTCAGGCGAAAAAAGTCAAAAAATTCAAAAATTAAACGATAATATCCATGTTTTTTGAAAAATTTTGGAGGCTTCGGGGCCTTGTGTCGCTCTAATTTGTCAAAAAGTCTTGAAATTCTAGGAGATACATCTCGGTGTCATATAATCCCGTTTGAAACCATATATGATCATATATGTTGTCATAAATGTTCGTGGTAGACTTGAATTAATGAGATCGGAGCAAGTTGTAAACCGGTAAATTGGTCGTTTAAAGACAAATTGTATGGTTCCACCCACTCAATTGAACTCCCGGAGGATATTAGGGACCATGGTTAACATTTCGGCAATTTTTATTTCCGAGCGAAAAAAAAAACAAAAAAATCCAAAATTGAAGACTAATATCCACGTTTTTTGAGAAACTTTGGAGGTTTCGAGGCCGGTGTAGAAAATTCACGATATTTTAGGGGATACATCTCAGGGTCATATAATGCTGTTTGGAACCATATATGATCATTATACGTTGTCATAAATGTTTGTAGTAACTTTGAGTTAATGAAATCCGTGCAAGTTGTAAACCGGTAAATTGGCCGTTTAAAGGCAAATTGGATGGTTCCACCAACCCAATTGGACTCCCGGAGGATATTAGGGACCATGGTAAATATTTCGGCAAGTTTTTATTTCCAGGCGAAAAAAAAAATCAAAAAATTTCAAAATTGAAGGCATTATCCACGATATTTTGAGAAATTTTGGAGGTTTGTGGCCCGGTGTCGAAAAATCTTGAAATTCTAGGGAATACATCTTAGGGTCATATAATGCCGTTTAGAACTATATATGATCATTATCTGTTGTCAGAAATGTTCTTGGTAGGCCTGAGTAACTAAAATCGGTGCAAGTTATAAACAAGTAAATACGTCGTTTAAAGGCAAATTGGATGGTTCCACCCACCCAATTGGATTCCCGGAGAGCATTAAGGATCATGGTAAACATTTCGGCGATTTTTATTTCCGAGAGAAAAAAAAGTCAAAAAATTTCCAAAATTGAAGGTTAATATCCACGCTTTTTGAGAAATTTTAGAGGTTTCGGGGTCCGGTGTAGAAAAGTCTCGATATCTTACGGGATACATCTCAGGGTCATAAAATGTCGTTTGGAACCATATATGATGATAATATGCTGTCACAAATGTTTGTAGTAGGCTTGAGTTAATGAAATCCGTGCAACTATTTTTTTTTTAAAGAAAATCCGTGCAACTTATAAACCGGTAAATTGGTCGTTTAAAGGCAAATTGGATGGTTCCACCTACCCTATTGGAATCCTGGAGGGTATAAGAGACCATGGTAAACAATTCGACAATTTTTATTTCCGGGCGAAAAAAAGTCAAAAAATTTCAAAATTGAAGGCTAATATCCACGTTTTTTGAGAAATTTTACATGTTTCGGGGCCCGCTGTCGAAAAGCCTTGAAATTCTAATGAATACAAATTGGGGTCATATAATGTTGTTTGGAACCATATATGATCATTATTTGTTGTCATAAATGTTCGTGATAGACTTGGGTTATTAAAATTGGTGCAAGTTGTAAACCGGTAAATTGGTCGTTTAAAGGCAAATTGGATGGTTCAACCCAGCCAATGAGACTCCCGGAGGGTATTAGGGACCATGGTAAACATTTCGGAAATTTTTATTTTCGGGTGATAAAAAGTCAGAAAATTCCAACATTGAAGGCTAACATCCACGTTGAGAAATTTTGGAGGTTTCGGGGCTCGGTGTCGAAAAGTCTTGAAATTCTAGAGAATACATCTCGGGGTCATATAATGTCGTTTGGAACCTTATATGATCATTATTTGTTGCCATAAATGTTCGTGATAGGCTTGAGATAATGAAATCGGTGCAACTTGTAAACCAGTAAATTGGTCGTTTAAAGGCGAATTGGATGGTTCCACCCAACTAATGGGACACCCGGAGGGTATTAGGGACCATGGTAAAAATTTCGGCAACTTTTATTTACGGACGAAAAAAAGTCAAAAAATTCCAAAATTATAAGCTAATAATCCACGCTTTTTGAGAAATTTTTGAGGATTCTGGACCCGGGGTCTAAAAGTTTTGAAATTCTAGGGGATACATCTCGGGGTCATATAATTCCGTTTGGAACCATATATGATCATTTTTTATCGTCATAAATGTTCGGGATAGGCTTGAGTTAATGAAATCGATGCAAGTTGTAAACCGGTAAATTGGTTGTTTAAAGGCGAATTGGATGGTTCCACCCAGCCAATGGCACTCCTGGAGGGTATTAGAGACCATGGAAAACATTTCGGAAATTTTTATTTTCGGGCGAATAAAAGTCAAAAAATTCAAAAATTGAAGGCTAATATCCACGCTTTTTGAGAAATTTTGGAGGTTTTGGGGCGCGGTGTCGAAAAGTCTTTGAATTCTAGGGGATGCATCTAGGGGTCAAATAATGTCGTTTGGATCCATATATGATCATTATTTGTGGTCATAAATGTTCGTGATAGGCTTGAGTTAATGAAATCGGTGCAAGTTGTAAATCGTTAAATTGGTCGTTTAAAGGCGAATTGGATGGTTCCACCCAGCCAATGGGACTCTCGGAGGATATTAGGGACCATGGTAAACATTTGGGTAATTTTGTTTTCTAGACAAAAAAAATTCAAAAATTTCCAAAATTGTAGGCTTAATATCCACGCTTTTTTGAGAAATTTTAAAGGTTTCGAGGCCCTGTGTCAAAAAGTCTTGAAATTCTAGGGGATACATCTCGGGGTAATATAATGATATTTGAAACCATATATGATCATTTTTTGTTGTCATAAATGTTCGTGATAGGCTTGAGTTAATGAAATCGATGCAAGTTGTAAACCTGTAAATTGTTCATTTAAAGGCGAATTGGATGGTTCCACCCAGCCAATTGGACTCCCGGAGGGTATTAGGAACCATGGTAAACATTTTGGCAATTTTTATTTTCGGGCAAAAAAAAGTTAAAAAGTTCAAAAATTGAAAGCTAATATTCACGCTTTTTAAGAAATTTTGGAGGTTTCGGGGCCGGTGTAGAAAGTCTCGATATTTTAGGGGAAACATCTCGGGGTCATATAATGTCGTTTGGAACCATATATGATCATTATACGTTGTTATAAATATTTGTAGTAGTCTTGTGTTAATGAAATATGTGCAAGTTGTAAACCGGTAAATTGGTCGTTTATAGGTGTAGACACCCATTTGTGTCTCCCCAAAACCAAACCCGGTGATGAGTGCCTTTCACGTCAAATCATAATCGAATGAAACGAAAGTGTGGAAAGGTCTAGTGTTGCGGAAAGTTTTATTTCTTTTCTCTTCTTCCTGTTTTAAAAACTTTATCTTAAGAAAACAGTCAATCCAGTTTGGTTGGTCCATGATATGGGTCCAATAGTGGTGTAGTTGCATGGGGCTTGCAAAGGCCTTTCCAACGATATATTATAAGCCCAATTCCGATGAATATTGAGGAATTTATGGCCAATTTACTAAACTGGGCTCGGTTTGAGTTTTAAGTACGGCCCAATGATCTAGGGGAGGGCCTAATATGATTTATCATTCCTAATGTAATTAGGAATGGTTTTAGTCTTCTAGAACATTCTATAAGGTTCTTATCATTCTTAATTCAATTAGGATTTTTCAGAGTTTTAATTAGATCAAATAGCATTTTCGATTGAAATTATATTATTTTATCTTCCAGTACGGGAATTTTATCAGAATTTCGAAAACGCGTTAAAAGCCAATTTGGCGTCCAACCCCAGGCCTTGGCGCCTGGAATCAGGATTGGCGCCAGACGCCAGCCATTGGCGCCTGGCGCTAGCCACTGGTCCTGGCGCCAATGAGCCAGGGCTGGCGCCAATGTGTTTTTGCGATCTTCAGACTCTGTTTTGATAAATTATCTTTTTTGGATGATTTTCTCTATAAATATCGTATCAAAAACTCCGTTTTCAATCATCATCAACACCAAGATTCACCAATTCTCTTTATTCTTAAGTTTTTATCAACTCTCTTCATTCACAATTTATTCATCAATTAGCATTCATCTCTTTTCATCAACTTTCATTAACATTCATTCTTTCTTTTCTAAACTTTGCTTTTTGATACAAAATTCCGCATTCGCAAGATCTAGAAACACCTAGCCCTAGACGTGAAAGGTTTTAATTTCTGAGGGTTTGGTCCCAATTCTCTCTTTCAATTATTTAATTTAATTGTTTTGATTATTATTTTCCTTGAAGTTACTAACGCGTGTATTTTGTTATTAGAAAGAGGTATGAGGCATCAAAGTAAGTACTTTAATTGATTTGATTAATTTTATGATGTAGATATCATGTTTATATTGTTATTATGATATTCTTAGTATCATGTCTAGGATATTTTTTAATATTAAATATGATTGTTATGATGCTTCCTATGTTCTTCCTAATATTAATTCATGTTAGTATCATGTTAGGGTTAAAGATTTGATTTTTATTGTTTAGTGACATGCTAGGGTTTGTTATTAATCTTGTTAGTATCATGCCTAGGATCTTGCTATACTTTAACATGATGATTATGATTATGATTGATATTATTATTAATGATATTGATTATTTATTGTGTTGCTTGATACATATTATTTTATATTCTTTATTTCTTGATCACCTTTTTATGCATGTTTAAAGGGAATTGGTATTTGCAATCACGCTTAATAAGATAATTAATAATCTTGTTAAGGTTAATTGTGATTATAAATTCAAGTGATCGCCAATAATAGTTTATTTGTGCATTAAATTCAACCAACATAGATTAAACAGGTTTAGGGTTAAACCTATTGATTGTATGTTAGTCAGAAAGCGCACATGAATACGATCAGAATAAAGTAGAGGCCTATTATTAGGGAAGATTCAATCTCTTTTAGGTTGGATTTGTACCATTATCCCCGAACCCTTATTTGGTTCATGACCTTATGGAGT